GTCCTTGCTGGAGGACCCCCGACTTCCTTCAGTTCTTCGGGGGCTAGGGGTCCTGGGAGCTAATCCGAGGAGTCACAGACGCCCGCGCTTAATCGTACCCTGGGACTTGGGCGCTGGCGGAGCCAGCCTGGCGTGGAGGGGCTCTCAGGCCGCACCCTGCAACCCTACGTGTGAGCGGTCACCGTGCTGGCCCGGGTGGGGCGTGAGCCTCCCAGGTGTACCTGCGGGGAGGCCAGGAGCAGGTGCGGTCAGCCCTCCCCCTGACCAAGGCCCTGCCTGCCTCAGCAGGTCTACTGATGCCAAGTTGGGAGTGGGGCTGGCCCGACGCCTCGGCTGGGGCTGCTGTGAGGGCCTGGCTCCGCACGCTGAGGCCGCAGTCGGCCTCAGTACTTGCCAGGCCTCCGTGGCCAAGCTGCGCCCGAGCCGAGTGTCCCCGAGGGCCGGCCCGCGGGCTCACGTCCTTCCTCCCTGCAGGTCACCGAGGTGGTCATGATCTATGACGCGGAGAAGCAGCGGCCTCGAGGTAAAGGCTGACCTAGTTTGTCCTGACCTCCTGCCCTCCTCCCTCAGATGGCAAACTATTTGACCCCATCAGGCAGTCGGGTGGGCCGTAGCCAGCGTGGCTCTGGCCCTGGCCTGCCCACGCTTCCCCACTCTGTCCACATGCTCCTGGCCCTCGTGGACCTCCCGGTGGTCGCTGTCCTCCAGGCGTCTGGAGAGACGTGGCTTTGCGCAGCCAGGAGCTGCCCGCCTGACCGTCATCCGCCCCATGTGCTCACCCCCACCCCCGTGGTGGCAGCCACACGGCCCCCCATTCCGTGCTGGTGTTTTTTCTTTTTTTTTTTTCTTTGAACCCCGAGTCACTGGGCAGGTGGGAGGGGTGGGGTGCAGAGCTGCCTCTGGCCCCATCCTCCTACCCGTGAGGCCCAGGGCGGCTGCCGGGCCTCGAGCACCCGGCCCTGTGCCTTTCTCTTCTGTTCTGTTTTTTGTCCCGCGGCTACTGCTGCTCACCCCCACCCCTTCCGTGTTTTCACCAGTCGCGTCCGGGCCTGCCTGTGGGCTGCTGTGGCGTCCCTGGCGGCCATCTGCCCAGAGCAGTCGGGCAGCCCCTCGGCGCCGCGGCCTGCAGCCAGCATGCGCCCGCCACGCTGGAGAATAGTTTGCCATTTGAAGCCCACCCTCCTCCGCGGTGCGTGGTGCAGGAGCGCGCTCCTCACTCGTGCCGATTAAGCTGTTAAGTCTTAGCCTTAACTTAGACACCGTAAGGCGTAGTGACGGCGTGCGTGCCGCAGCTCGGCACGGCCGCGTTAAGCGCGCTGCTCTGTGAATGCTGTGATTAACGTCTCTCCAGCTCTCTCTCCAGGTGCTAAGTTGTGTCACACAGGTACAGGCCAGTCCCGCAGTCAGAGGAGGGGCGCTTCGCTCCAGTGGGGTGTAAACGAAGTTTCAGTGTGTTCTGTCCCGCTTCCTCAGCTCTGGCACGCGTTCCTAGACGCCCGTGCGGGGCTCTGGCCACGGCTCGCCGCCTGGCACTAGGCACGGACCACGCCGCCCGTGGCTCAGACACTCCTGCCGTTCAGAGTCGACTCTTACATGTGTCGTGTCATCACCTCTGCTGTGTGCAAACCCCGCCGCGGCCTCGGGAAGCCTCACGCCACCACCCGAGGGCCGCCCCTAGAGGCGCCTGCCCCTGTGCTGCGCGGTGTCCCGGACGGTGTAGCTAGTGTGGGGTGGGTGGAGGGGCGGCCTAGAGAGGGCTTCGGGCTGGGTGGGCCCCCCCTTGCCTCGTGTGGTTCATGCAGCACAGCCTCGGGCGGGCTCTGTGGGTCCTGGGGCGGGCGCAGGTCGGGGAGGGCGTGGCCACAGCAGCCGACCAGCAGGGCCTCCCCGAGAGCTGGCGCCTGTGCCCGACCTTCTGAATCTTTGCCGACCCTCTGTCTCCTCCCTGCCCCACCTCCTGCCTTCGGTGGGCTTTGGTGGTGGACGTGTCCCTGGACGTGGGTCCTGCATGTCTCCCTTCCTCTCTGTCCCTCCTCCACGGCACAGTCCCCACACCCACCCCCGCGCCTAGGTGCTCAGGTCCAGGCCTGCACAGGGGGCTGGCCAGCTGCTCCCGGCCCGCGGCGTCCTCCAGGCTGCTGCCCTCCCACCCCCACCCCTATCCCCACCTTTACCCTCGCCCCGTCCCCGGTTTCGCTTGTCACCAACCTGGAGCAGCCAGCCGCAGGTCCAGCACCCCGAGGTCCCCGCAGCAGGCTGCCCCACCCAAGGCCCTCCCGCTGCATCTGCGGCAGCGCCCAGCACCACGCCAGCCCCCGCTGCGTGCTGCTCCGCGCACACCCTGGCCGCGGGTGAGACCCCACCTCTCCCTCTGTCTCTGGTCCTCGCGGCTCTCTGCCGCCTCCCCTTGTGCGCGCGCAGGCAGCCGTCAGGGGCAGTGCTAGGCTCAGCGGGGTCCTCGCCCTGGAGGACTGCTCAGCGGGGTCGCGCTCCCCTCAGCCTGGGAGGCTGGAGACCCTGGCCCACTTCCGCACGTAGAGGACGAGGTGGCCGCGGTAGCCGGCGGCTGCCCCCAGACCAACCAAACTTCGTTTATACTGCCACTTCCTGTGTTTGGGACTTGCGAAATTGTTCTCCAAATTCCTCTGATGCCACGGTGCCTCTTGCCCTCGCTGCTGACAGCAGAGTCTGACCTGCTGAAAAAAACAGAGTCTGGCCTGCTGACCCCGGTGTGGCCTGTATCTCTGTGGACGCCTCGTGTGTTACTCGATCGCGTACACGTGGACATTGACGTAGATACCGTAGACATGTGCGTTCTGCGGGGCTCCTTGGGCTCAGCCAACGGCGTTGGCGCAGCCTAGCGAGGCCCCGTCCTGCCGTCCGGTAGTGCTCTAGGGCGTCGCGGCTGGCGTCCGCCACGGGTGGCAAGGGGGGGC